GAGCGACGAGCGAGCGAGCGGGAGTGGGGGGGGGGTTAGGAAGGGATGGATGGAGCAAGGATAGGAGCAATGGAAGCAAGGAGGGAAAGAGGGATCCAAGAAAGAAGGCAGGCAGGCAAGGGCACCGAGGGGCGGAAAGGAGGGGGTTAAGGGAGAGAGGGTGGGATGAAAAAAGGTGAACCATAATTTCTCATGCATTCCAACTCTGTGCACTGGCAGAATGTAAGAAACCCTGAAGTGCGCAAAAGCGAGGATCTGTCAACGAGGCACGGAAAATCTGCCTCGGAAACAACGCAGCAGATGTGCATCAAACGAGCAATGAAAAATGTCATTTTTAAAGGTTATTGAATAAAGACATGGTGTGCAGGGCGCCACATTTAAGAAAGGAGAAATGCAGATTGTAAGGAATACGTGAAGAGGAAGATAGGAAGGTATGCAAGCAGCTTAAGGAAGAGAATAGGGGGGACGAGACGAGGGAGAGACGACGAGAAAGAAACAAGGGAGAGGCGAGGGAGAAACAAGGGAGAGGCGAGGGAGAGGCGAGGGAGAGGCGAGGGAGAGGCGAGGGAGAGGCGAGGGAGAGGCGAGGGAGAGGCGAGGGAGAGAGAGGAGGGGTGGTCGTAGAAGAGGGGGGTTGGGTGGGGGAGGGTGGAAGTTTGTTGGCAGTCTTGCCTGCGTCCTCCAGCCCCCGTCCTGTCTCCACACGAGACAAAGGTTTTAATGTGTATCCCTCAAAAACGTTTTAAGAGCCGAAACTTCTAGATGCTTTACTACACGGTGAGTGAGTCAGCTACGACATGCCGTTTGAAGAGACTCGTTTTCGTGTATGTTGGTAACACTACTCCTTCACTTCTTTAAAACTCGTGAGCAATAATGGCAGAACTGCAGAAAATATGCTCTTTGAGGAGTTGGAGTTGGAGTATCGACGGTCAACAATGAGATAGTAAAGATTTCAAGTTTCTTTCACTTCATGTAGACAGGCAGGACAGGCTGTCTAGGTTTCAACATTTGACTTTCAGACGACCATAGTGTAATCGACCACATGATAGAGGTTCAGAAACATAGTTTCCACGCATCAGGTATTTTCTTGTAATCATGAAAAGTTAAGAGGATGTTCTAGTTGTTCAGAAAGTATCCGATACGCTCTGCATCCATAAGCCAGCCGTTATGATGGCTCGAGCTGCTCCGGCTGAATTCATCGCACACGCCTCCTTGGGGGACCTCGTTGACTTGAGCTGGTGATCCTGCCATGCCAACAATCTTGACATCGTGACTATCGCTGGGTGCGGGATCATCCTTGACGTCTGTCTCAGCATGAGCGGGTGTTTTCTTCTCTCTTCTTGTTCGCTTGATCTTCTGGCATTCGTTGCAAATGGTCTTCTCCCCAGACACAGTGTACAAACATCCCTCGCAAATTTCATCACCTTCATACGTTTCTCTTTCCTTGACAGTCCAGTCTTGTAGGGTAGCCCTTACCCACGTTCGTCTTCGCCATATGTCTCGGATGGCCTTGGGTGTTATGCCGAATCTCAAGGCGAGTATAGAGCTGGACACAATGGGCTTTGCTTTCTCGATCGGACGGCAAGCGAAGATGTAAAGTGCAAGCTCGTCGTTGATCACGTTACGCGGCTTTGAATCGTTTCCTTGGCGGTTTATGATCGACTTCATGACTTGGCTCTTGCTAAGAACTGTCAAAGCTGAACCTCGACTTGGGCGGCTCGCTTGATGTACGCAACAGACGCACTATGAAGCTGTGGAATAATGCAACGTCGAAGGTCAGATGTTTGATCTTCTCAAGCAAGGTCAGCCAGGAGCTTCAAATCACGATGGTTCTTGGCAGCTTGAAGTCCGCGTATCGATCGAGGTGACTGGTTGTGGAGTGGCGGCAGACTGGAGGAGCGCAAGGCCTGCGATGAAGTAAAAAAACTGGCGTGCGGAACGGTGGGGGAGCGACGGCCGGGAGACCGCATCCTTTCAACAAGCACATGTCCCATGGGGTGCGCGGCTGGGGGGTACTTAAGTAGGGTGGGTGGGGAAATTGACATTGTGGAGGGGTGGGTGGTGTTTGACTGCGTTTTAGATATACGCGACGGTCAAGATTTTAAAAAGGTTTTACGCCAAGTCCGACGGGCCGAGCCGGTTGCCTTAAAACCTTCAATGGAAAGGCTCAAGAACCTGATTTTACTTGTTGCCCACAATTGCGAGGCGGCGTCAGAGTTGACTCTGATGGGGTAGTAAATACTTGCTGCCTCTTACTATTGTCCTTGATATCCCTGAGGCAGACTTGATGAATCTACCTTGCTCTGAATTTGGCCCAATGGCCGCGGCCCGGACCCGATCAAAATTATCATTGAATGACTCAATAACATCGTTTGGTCTTTTATACGATACGTTACACCCGAAATGTTTGGTAGTATTGGTGCCTGAAAATCATTTTTCTCAGGATTTAGCATGCTGCATTATAGTCTCACTGTGCTGCTATAAGCAAATCTCATTTCTAGCTCGCGAAAAATTCTCGCGACACAATTTTGCTGCACTTTGTGGTGAAGCCACAATTTCTGGAGACACAAGTTAGGAGAAGCTGTTGAGAGTGAACTATGGTAAGGCCAATGGCTGTTAAGAGGCATGCATGCATGCAGGCATGCAGGCAGGCAGGCAGGCAGGCAGGCAGGCAGGCAGGCAGGCAGGCAGGCAGGCAGGCAGGCAGGCAGGCAGGCAGGCAGGCAGGCAGGCAGGCAGGCAGGCAGGCAGGCAGGCAGGCAGGCAGGCAGGCAGGCAGGCAGGCAGGCAGGCTGGCAGGCAGGCAGGCTGGCAGGCAGGCTGGCTGGCATCCGGGCGCGGGAGAGAGGACAGGAAGGGAGTTGCAACGTAGAAGGGGCAGGAGAGCTTGTTGGGGGCATGTCATAATTTTACTTTAATCTGCATCATTCAAATCATATCGCTGATTCAGATCAGTTAAATCGCCATATCACTCCACCCAGCTGAAGCTTAGCCTTCCACTGTCCTTTCGCTGTCGCTCACCTTGATATCCATGTCTTCCGCTGCTCCTGCTCCTGCTCCTGCCCCTTCTCCTGCTCCTGCTCCTGCTCCTCCTGGTCCTGTTTTGATGCCTCTCACCCAGTACGTCTGCATTGCACCCTTGCCCTTGACCACGATCTTATGCTCGGAGTCTGTGAACCTCGGAACGATCTCGAACTCTGTCTTGCACTCCCGAAGCAGTCTGTACGTGACCTCCGTGACCTGCAGCGACAGCGCCTTGGATGTGCTTTCCATCCTCGAGGCAGTGTTCACCGTGTCCCCGAAGAAGCAGTACCTCGGCATGGCAGTGCCGACGACGCCGGCGACCACCGGGCCCGAGGCGATCCCGGCCCGGATTTTGAGCGCGAACTCACCCGCATTGTTGTGCTTGACGAGGTCGATGGCCTCGAGGGCGAACCGAACGACCCGCTCGGCAGCATCGGGGCCTGCCATGCGATCCGGCGCCCCTCCTACGACCATGTAGGCGTCTCCGATGGTCTCTACCTTGTATATGCCGTGCTTTGCGACGAGCTCGTCGAACTTGCAGTAGAGCTCGTTGAGCATCGCCATGACCTCCAGCGGGTGCATCTCGTTGGCCAGGTTGGTGAAGCCGACGATGTCCGAGAAGAAGATGGTGACGGTGCTGAAGACTTCCACCACCTGCCGCCCCTGCTGGAGCCTCTTGATAGCTCTGGCGGGCATGATGCGGTAGAGCAGCTGCTTCTGCATCTTGCGGCTCACAAGGATCATCAGCGCAAACGCGGCGATGCAGCATGACATCACGACGCAAGTGGCAATGGCAGCTGGAAGCCAGCCGGGGTGGAACCCGTTGTCATCGCCCACCGTGAGATTCCAGACGTTCCCTGGGACTTTCAAGGGCACCACGACGTAGTCGTTGGACATGGTCTTGTTGATCGAGGAGGCGATGACCTTGGAAGAGTAGATCAACTCTTTTCCATTGGCCACAACGTCCAATCTAGTCAAGTTGAACACCAGGCCCTCCTTCCGCATCACGTCGTGGATGCCGCTCTTCTGCAGTACTTCTCGGTAGTTGAACAGACAAACGGCAAACCCCCACCAGTTCACGTTGGGGATCGGAGCATTGACCTGCAACTCGAGAGGGTCCATGGACCCAGGAACGGCCCGGTCGACGAAGATAGGAAGGCGGCCAATCATGGCCGTTCCTCCCTGCACCAGGGGCACCGGCCCGGACATGACGAACCCTTCCTGGATGGCCTTGAGAGCGTCCGGACGTCTGTTGGGATCCCTGAGGAGATCGTGCCCAAGGGCCTTGGGGTCAGCTGGGGAGATCATGGAGACGATGCCCCTTGGAGCTAGCTGGAGGTTGACGATCGTGCTCGAGATCTTGTAGCTCCCTTGGTCTACAGTCTGGTAAATGTTCTTGACGATGCCGTTGAACTCTTCGACCAAGGAGGCGGGGATGCTCGACACGTTGCGAAAGTTGGAGCTGATGATGGGGAAATACATGGAGGTGTTGGCGAGCTGGAGGATCTCGTCTGTCGACCTCACGAAGGCTGCGAGGGTGAAGAGAGGCGAGAGGGCCTTGTCGAGCTGAGAGCTGAAGAACGCGCCCTGAGCATCGTGTCAGAGGTATCGAGGGACAACACAACATGTCATGACAATTTGAACGGCTTTTGCCTCCACCTCAATCCTCCTCCCATCGATCGCGCTGTGGGACATCCGTCAGCCTTGCATCGCAGAGGAGGGCAGAACTTCACCTTGCTCGCCAGTTCAAGATCAGGCCGATCCCGAGGATGCAGAGGGCAGCCCACAGGAGCATGAAGACGAGGAAGAGCTGCCAGTCCAGTCAGCGACGGCGGCACAGGAGGAGAGTGCGTCACCTGCCAAGAGATCCCCCGCATGAACGTCTGAGCGTACGACCGGAGCTCCAGCAGCTGCAGGAAGCGATCAGCTTGCGAGGCAATCAGGAGGAGCAACCCACTGTGTCACTGACGTACGCGGCAAACCCCGACTTCTCATCCTCGTCGTCATGGTCGAACGCCTTCACGTCCTCTGGCTTGAAGTTGGTGTAGTGCTCCCAGAAGTTGATTGATCCCGATGACACCCCCGACGAGCTTTTGGCTTTCATCCCCCTGGACACGAAGTCTGACCCTGCCCAGCTGGACCTGTCGTCTTTCTGCACGATCTCAGCCATGCTGTCTTCTGGCGTGCTTCGCTCGCTCGTGAACGTATCTCCAGCTTCCAGTGCCACCATGTTGATCGTGACGTCGCGAGTTGCCGCAGCGCAGTCATGGCCGCTCTGGTCCTTAAAGTCCATGTCTCTATGCCCGCCAGCGTTCATGGCGTCTGCACATGCACATCAAGGGGTTGGAAGCAGAGCTTCTTTGAACAGGTTCATTGTATCTACACCCTTGCATTGCAAGAACAGCCTTTCCTCGTAAGACACTGGCTACACTTGTCCTTTACAACCCCTGCTCTTCTTAAACTTTTCCCCTGCTCCTTTGCTGATACCTGCTACTCCATATCACGCATATATGCTTGCTTTCACACTCCTCTCCATTGCCACAATTCTTTTCCCCTCCCTTCCTACCCCCTCCCTTGCCCTCGTCCCCTGCCCCACTGCCAGCCTCTTCCTATCCCTTCCCTCTCCTCCTCCTCTCCCCACACAACCCCATTCCCTCATCCCTTCTCCAGCTCTCTCTCTCCCCCT